AGCTTGCTTAGCTGCCGTAAGCATTGGACCAGCTGGTTGCAGGGGGCGTTTTTCCAGAGAACGGGGGAGAACGCTGACTTCTGCACCAGTGTCAACCAAGAAGTGAAGTTTGGTTGTGGAGTCAAATACGTACAACAGGCGACTAATAACCTGGCCAACGACAGCCGCCGCCATTACTGGCTGGCCATGTGGTTTCCCGACGTAGGAATTGAAAAGGCTTTAGGGTGTTTACACCCTGGACGGCACTTACGCGCTGCGTCTCCGAAGCGGTGGTGATAATAACAATAGCGGTGAGACTGTCGTGTACGAGAGCTGCTAGGACGTCTGGATCGAGAAACGGATTGTCGCAAAAAAACGCGGTCACGTTTGAGGTGGGACAAGGTGAGCTCTAGGTTAGAAAGTCTCTCGTTGATTGTGTCAAGTAGCGTGGTTCCGGAGAGATTGCTTGAGCTAGTCTCAGCGACGTGGGATACCGACGTTTTAATGAAGCGTTCTTGAACTTTATCAGCAGCTTCTGCCAGTTTGTCTAGCGGAAGATCGTCGGCGAGAACAGCTAAAATAGCCGTGGTATTCGCGGGAAGACAATTACTCCACAATTGGTGGAGAACGGAGTCATCCAGTATTGAACAACCGACGAGGGAAGGCATGTGTCGGAGTAACCGAGACGGCGTTCTATCTCCAAGCTCGACGGCAGAGAGTAACCGCTGAAGGCGTGACTCGTCTGAGGCTGTAGTGCGCCTTAATATGGCTGTCTTAAGTTTATCATAGGGGGACTCTAGGGGCATGGGATCAAGGATGTCGATGACCTCAGAGGCGATGTTGGACGGTAGGTGAGCAGTCACATATGAAAACATAGTGGACTGGGAAGTAATCTTACGAAAACGGAAAACAGCTTCTACCTGAACAAACCAAACACGTGGGTTAGAAACGTCAAAAGAAGGTAAAACAACTTCAAAGGAATGTTCCGAAGCATTAATAGCGGGCGCGTGATCAGACATTGTGTAGAAAAAAGGGAAAAATATACACAAATAAATAAAAATGCGGGGTCACCAATTATATGGAGGAAGCGGCGAAGGAGAATACTCAGTCAGTCAGGTTTACCTCACATATAAAATATCCTGATGCGCCTAAACGTCGGACGATCGTAACTCGCGAGGTACGACAGTGTACGTGTATGTAGAGTCCGATCGTGAATAGAGCAGGCAGCGACGCGCACAATCACAACAACACAGCGGCAACAATAGCAGAACCACGGAAGACGAGCTGGAAACCAAGTGTATGTATATATAGTTAATTAAAACAAAGCTGTACAACAACTGCAGCGAAATAGATAAACGTGAAAATGAAAGATAAGCAAATGATTTACAATCGCTACAAATTTCAGTCTATCTGCCAGTGGAAGGTCTGGTTGAACGCTGACACCCCTACCCTTAAGTTTGAATGCAAACCGCGGTAATTATTTGCATTCCTCCAGGGTAGAAAGAACCACGCGAAGTAGTCGGGGTCACGGATTTGGCGTAGCGATAGGGACGTTCCTTAATCTGGTCAGCTTTCTGACAGTGACACCAGGGAAGCCAGGTGGAAGCAGCTTGCTGACACAGTTTCAGCCACTTGATGTCATCCAAGATGAGTTCCCTTGGGAGAGCGGCCGCAGATTCAGTAACGTTACGGAATATAACGCTACTATCCGTGAAAGAGTCGGCACGACGGGAAGTGTTTACTGCACGTGCCTTAGAGTCGACACCTATACCAGCTGTTTTCACCACTGGCGGTGGGACTGTCCCTGTCTTCCCAAACGACGCCGAAGCAACGGTAGCGTAGGTTTTCCGCTCTATTGCCGGCGTCTTACTAGTTCCTGGGTCTTAAGACCTTATAACTGTCCATGCATGAAGTAAGATTCAGATGGACTGGAACGATAGGAAAATCCCTTGAGTGTTCCTTCTTGAGCAAATCGTTGAGCCAGGAAATGATAAGGTGCTAGTTCTTGATAGATCTAAAACGAAACATCCGAAACACCCTGGTCAACCAATTACTGCCCACGTTCCCTGCACCAGCAGTCCGCGCTGTGTAGGTTACGTGAAGTAAGAAAGAAGTAGAAAGCAAATAAAAGATAAAGAGGAATGAAAGTCATGAAAATGAAGGATAACACCAAAGAGTGAAGAGAATGACAGAATAAGAACTAAAAGCTTGAAGATGGATACGGTCAGGAAAAGGGAAAGGTTTCGTGTTGCCACCCAAGAGCGTCTAACTGATGCTCGAAACCCTTAACCGTAGGTTCACTGACTACACTTTCTGGAAGCGAGTTCCAGCGCTCAACAACTCTACGCGATAACAGAGTTTCCGCCCTGATCCGGTCAGAACGCGGCTTGTGTAGCTTCATGGGATGACCGCGAAGACAAGGCAACCTAGCCGGGCTAAATAGCCAGCTCAAGTCCGGTCCAACCTTCCCTGTTAAAATGCGGTAAGTAAGGATTAGGTCTCCTCGAACCTGTCGGTAGTGCATTGAATACATACCCAAGCTAAGTAGACGCTCGGCATATGATTGCTTCCGTAACCCCTCGACCAATTTGGTACCTACTCTCAAAACACTCTCAAGCTCCATTTTGTCCCGAACAAGGCAGGGCGGGCAAGCCTGGACGCAGTATTCCAGATGGGGCCGGACGAAAGCTGAGAACAGCTTCACAAATATGTCGGCAGTTAGGACCCCGAAAGAACGGCGTATTAACCACAACATTCTGAAACCCCTACAAGCGGCCTTCTTCCAGTTGTCACCAGAATGCAAAGCCGAGGGATGAACGACATCTAGGTCTACCTGGTTGGAGACAAGGGGGAGTTCGACCCCACCGAGTACGTAGCTCGAAGGCGGGAAAGTTGCTCCTATACGAAGGACGGAACACTTAGCCTGATTTATGGGCAGTAGCCACAAAGTAGACCAGTCCCAGAGTCTGTCCAGTGCATGCTGTATGGCATCAGAACCCCCCGGAACATTTACAACATTCCATAGCTTAAGGTCATCAGCAAACAATAGGGATGATACCCCAAGCTCTCCAGGGAGATCGTTTACGTAGATGGAGAACAGCATCGGTCCAAAGACCGAGCCCTGTGGGACACCGCTAAGGATCGCTTGCTTAAAGGATAAGCAGTGACCCACACGTACACACTGCTCTCTTCCCTGCAAGAACGCAGATACCCAGTGAAGCGCGCGACCGGATACGCCGTAGGACCTCAGCTTTTGTGATAGCCTCAAGTGGGGTACCTTATCAAATGCTTTCGAGAAGTCTACGAAAAGCACATCCACCACGTGGCCATTGTCCACTGCCTCGGCCCAAGCTTCACGAGCAACCAACAAATTCGTCAAACACGAAAACCCCTTCCGGAATCCATGTTGTGCACCACCGAGTAGATTAAATCTATTCAGGTAACATTCCAACGAATCTCTTACCAGCTTTTCAAGCAGTTTGACCACGACGCTAGTCAGACTAACTGGCCTATAATTGGCTGACAGACTCCTGTCGCCATTTTTGAAGATAGGAGAGATGACAGCCTCCTACCATTCAGAAGGTAATGTACAGCTGTCAAGTGATTTCTGAAACACCATCGTCAGCGGTCCACTCAGTTCCACCGCCAGCTCATGCAGAAGCTTCGGGTGAATGGAATCAGGTCCAGCTGCTTTGGAAGGGTTCAGTACTTGCAGCAGTTTAAGGACTTGCGTTTCCCCCACAGTAAACTCAGCTAAATAAGAACCCTCAGGTACTCTGGGGACAAGTTCAACGCTAGTCAACGCGGCCTCACGTACAGAATCCCCTGCATACTGTTCCCCAAATACACGAGCCTTATCTCAGTCCGCATACGCACGAGTTCCATCGGACCTCATCAAAGTTGGGATTACCGAAGTTGAACCACAGCGCCTCTTAACATAAGCGAAGAACTTTGGATTTTCCGAAGCTCCATCAGCCGATTCCTTTTCGTACACCAGCCGAGCTTTCCTTAAGTGTTGTTTACACCTATCTCTAGCCTCACGGTATCTATCATAGGTGCTAGTTGATGGAGCCGCACGGTACGTCCTCCAGCACCTAGAACGCTTCTGGAGCAGGTGCTTGCCAGTGGTATCTATCCACGGCGGCCGCGCCCGTGTCTCCTTACTCCTCGCAAGCGGGATGTAGGGAGTAGACACTTCCGTGAGATAAGATTTAAATTTATCCCAGGCCGCCTGAACCGTATCAACCACCGAGATTTCGCAACGCATCCCAGCAGCCTTGGTACGCATTGCGTGATAGTTAGCACGCCATATGTTTGGAAATGGCTTAGCAATGCTCTGGTGACGCCTGGTCAGACTACACCTGAACGATAAACAAACATGATCACTAGCACCTAATGGAGAGCTGTAAGTGATGTCCCCTACGAAATCTAGTGACTTGGCAAACACTAGATCCAAAATAGACGGGAGTTGGGCGTCCATGTACCTAGTGGGGAGGTCCACGAACTGATGCAACGGTACTTGTAGCGTAAGCTCAAGTAGATCTGCCCCGAAAGTACCTTCTGACGAGTTGCAAGAAAGATCCGCCCAGCAAACTTCTGGTAGATTGAAATCCCCAGTATCAAACACCTGTTTGCGGATTGGGAGCGAATAAAGTCAAGCACCTCTTTGGACGCACTCCCAGGGCTTCTATACACAAGTACGACTGTAAGTTGAGCTGAGGAATTGTTAATCACTACCGACAGCGCTTCGACAGTTTTATCTGCCGACTGAAACGTGTAGGTGCGTGTAACATCAAGTTCACACCTAACGTAAATAGCAACGCCCCCGCCTTGTCAGACAACGAAGCGATCACATCTAAATAGTGCGTAGCCAGACAGATGTACTTCACCGTCCGTGATGTCCCGAGACAGCCACGTTTCAGTGAATGCAAGTATATCGGGAACCACCTAGTAAGTGTCAGAGCTGGAAGAAGTGTGTGCCGGTATTTTACCTCATGGTTAGAAAGTGGCAAATTTTTGAGATGAAAATGTAATGCGCAGGACGACGAAGGCAAATGGGCCGGTAATTTAACGTGCTGGAATAAGAGGGGAACACACAAAGTCAGTCACACAGGGCACAACAGAGGGTTCGACGAGGGAACACGGATGCAGCGAAGAACACGGAGCGAAGGTAGGAAAAGGTGTATTCAACACGAGAGCCACAGTTACAGTGCAATGCATTTAAACACAGAGTTCAGGAAAGAAAACAGTAGGTACACAAGTGGTTAAAAGTTCACCAGTCTTTGTCTTCAAGTTTATTAATGTTGGGGTTTCTCGGGAAGGAATCTGAAAAACAAAGAGAGAAAGGAAAAGATAGCGGACATTGGATAAGTTGATGCGGAGGCACTACACTACTCCCCCCTATTGTTAGGTGTTGTCCTCAACACCTGCAGGTAACTGTTGTACTGGATCGGTTGTCTCAGCCCTTATCTCCACGTGCTCAACGGCCTCTGGTACGGTTAATGCAAGATTGCGAGTGTGCTCCGGGCCAGTGTAACTCAGGGTAGCAGGTTTCAGTCGATTAAAGTGGACCACAATAGAAGGACGAGAATCGCAGGCACTGTCCGTGATGCGGCAGGTGCAGTCGTCATACACCTCATTAACAACGTATGGTCCAGCCCATTCCTTATGTAGCTTCGATGAATGGCCGGGTGATGGTACGGGTGAGTGTAAATAAACCAGTTGTCCGGGTTGCACGGGTGTACCCTCTACCTTGCGGTCGTAATAGCCCTTCTGGTGCCTCTGAGCATTATCCAAGCAGTTTCGTGCCAAGTGATGTGTGCGGTGTAACTCATTTCTCAATTTCGTGACGTAATCCGTGGCTAGCAACGGGTTAACCGCCAAGCGAGGTAACGTTAAGTCGAGAGGAAGCCGTATCTCTCTCCCAGTAAGCATGAAATGGGGAGATTGGGTAGTCGAGGCGTGTACGGTGGAGCGGTAAGCTAGCAGGCAATGTGGGAGAGCGAGATCCCAGTCGTGCGCATGGTGTCCGTCGATGAAAGCCTTAAGCAGTGCTTTAAGAGATCTGTTAACGCGTTCCACTGTGCCGTTTCCCTGTGGATGATATGCAGTTGTACGTGTTTTACGAATGCCCAGCAACTGACATAACTCTGACACGACTATACTCTCGAAGTTCGAACCTCGATCCGAATGTATCTGCTCTGGGGCCCCCCAACGTGCGATCCATTGTTCAAAAACAGTCCGCGCAACAGTAACCGCATCAGTACGTGCTAAAGGGGTGGCCTCACACCACTTGGTAAAATGATCGACGAGGACCAAAATGAAGCGGTTTCCTCGAGTCGTCATAGGTAAGGGTCCCATGATGTCAACCGCTACCGTTTGATTTGGATACCCCGTCACAATTGGTTGTAGAGGTGCACAGTTGGGTCTCCGGGGTGGTTTCGCACGAAGGCAGTCGTGACATTTATTGCAAAAGTTTACAATATCTCTGCGTTGGCAAGGCCACCAGAACCGCTGTTCGACGGCTTCTTCCGTTTTCTTTTGCCCAGCGTGCCCTAGCTCGGCATGAAGCTGTTGCAACACGGAGTCCACTTTGGGCAGAGGAACCACGATGCGCTTCGGGTAATTTGGCCCATACTGATAGTAGAGAATTTCGTCATGGATAGTGAGGCGTGCCCAAACAGACCACACACAATGGGCCTCCCAGCTCAAACCTGTCATCTCTGCTTTCGTTGGTTTAATTCCTTCAGTTATCAACCTTTCATAAATGAACTTAAGGTCCGGATCGTTCTTTTGAAGCTCGGACCACTCAGTAGAGTCCGAACTAACCAATGAAATCACGTCGACATGATGTTGTGCACACGAGGGACAGCCCACTTGGTGATGACCTCTTCGCCGAGAGAGCGCGTCGGCATTAGTGTGTCGCTTGCCAGGTCTGTGAACACATTCGTAGTCATACTCTTGTAACTGCTCCTGCCAGCGGGCAACCTGTCCCACTGGATCACGAAAGTTTTGCAACCACGTCAGAGAATGATGGTCTGTGCGGACGATGAAATGTCGACCCAGCAGGAAGTGTCGAAAGTGTTTTGTATATACTACCAAAGCCAGCATCTCCTTGCGCGTTGCACAATAATTGCGCTCGGGTTTACTCAAACATCTACTGCCGTACGCTATCACGTGCTCCAACCCATCCGCTCCTTTCTGGGATAGGACAGCCCCAATTCCTGTATCACTCGCATCCGTGTCGAGGATAAATGGACCAGCTGATGGGGACAGATCGGGAAACGCCAAAATCGGCGACGTTGTGAGCGATTGTCGTAGGGCATCGAACGCCTGTTCGCACTGCGGGGTCCAACGAAAAGGCCTCCCTTTCTCTGTAAGGCGGTGTAGCGGTCCCGCGATATCAGCAAAATTACGGACAAACCGTCGGTAGTATGAAGCCAGGCCAAGAAACTGACGCACCTCTTCCGTGGTTCTTGGAGTCGGCCAGTCTTTTATCGTCCTAATCTTTTCCGGATCACTTTGGATCCCCTCCGGAGTGATAACATGCCCAAGGAACGTTACTTCTTTTTTAGGAGTTGGCATTTTTGTGGTCGCAATTTAAGACCAGCGTCCGAAAGGCTACGTAAAACCTTATCGAGATTCGCCAAATGTTCCTCCAAGGAACGACCATGCACGATCACATCATCTAAGTACACTAAACAGTGGTGTGGGATCCAAGATCGCAACACGATATGCATTAACCGCTGGAATGTGGCGGGCGCATTTGACAATCCGAACGGCATGGTTTGGAACTCATACAGTCCCGTTGGTAGTATGAAAGCTGTTTTCTCTCTATCTTGTACATCGACCTCCACCTGCCAATATCCCGATGCAAGATCTAAAGTTGAAAACCATTGAGCACCACCGAGGATTTCCAAGGTGTCGTCGATCCGAGGCAATGGAAACGAGTCCCTGCGAGTCACTTCATTAAGTTTGCGATAATCTACACATAGGCGTAGCGTGCCTGTTTTCTTCTTAACCAGAACGATAGGTGAGGCCCATGGCGATTTCGACGGGGTAATGATTTTTGCATCCAACATCTCCTTTATCATACCCTCGAGCTCCTGCCGGTACTGGACAGGGACCCGACGGGCCCTCTGGGTGATCGGGGCCGTTGACCCAGTGTCGATTTTGTGGCGCAGGATATCGGTGCGTCCAAGTGGGGTTCCCGCCCAAGCAAAAGCGGAGGAGTTTTTCTGTACGATGTTACGCAACATATTAAGCGCAGTGGGAGAAATGGTGTCTTGGAACGGTAGTAGGAAAGCTTCTATCTGTGAATTTACGGAGGTGGGCACTTCGTTAGCGGCACACACATGGTCGTGTTCAGTATGGGCTGAGACGATTGGGAGGTGACATCTACCCCATCGTAGACGTTCGTTGGCCAAATCAATTGAACACCCTAGGTGATGTAAGAAATCGGCACCGAGCACAACATCCCAGGGTAGTTGGGAGGAAACAAACATAGGATGCGTCACTTTGCAATCCCCTATGAGAAGTTCAACTGTAGTGATACCGAGTGTTTTGAGTATGGTGCCATTTGCGGTTTTTAATTGGTGCAAATTGTTAGGTTCTAGGGAACTGTCACATAGTTCTGGTTTGATTAGGGAACATGTAGCACCAGTATCAATTAAAGCATACACTGAGTTAGAGCCAACTAACACGTTTACAAAAGGTTGCCTTGAACTTGGCGTAGGATAGATGCAAGGAACGAATTCAGACTTACCAAGACGTGGTCGATCGTTCCGGCTTTGGGTGTGGGGGACAGTTGAGGGAGAAGCGATGTTTGCGTTATGACCACACACTCGAGCTTTTGATCCAAATTTAGCGCAGTAATAGCATTCCTTCCGGGTGTTTGACATTCGTGGTCGGCCTGGTGACAAACATGATCGGTTCGATGTCATCTGTGAACGACTCACCAAGTTATCATTGGACCGCCTAGATTGTCTCACTAATGCCGCTGCCTCGTATTTGTGGCCGATAGCGACGGCCTCCTCGACGGAATTGGGTGGTTCCCGGGCGTAGGCTTCGCAGGTTTCTTCATCAATAACCCCTTGGACTAAACGCTCAAGGACAAAGGATTCACGGACGGTGACCGACAGGTTGCCGAAAGCACGTACGGCTAAACAGCGTAGATCAGTTACGTAGTTGTCCAACGACTCTCCTACCAGTTGGGACCTGGACCAAAACTGATGCTTTGCCCCAGGGTGAGAAACCCCGCCGCCGAACAAAGAACGCAACTTTTCCCAAATGTCCTCGACTGAGGAACTGACTGAAAAACTTGATGACATTAAGACTTCTTGGACTCTGGGGTCCAAGTGAGAAAGAATGTAAGGTCCGCGTTTAGACGGAGGGACAGCACTCAGATAAAGGTCCATTCTCCATTTCCAAGTTTCCAGGTCGGTACCAACAGTGAATCGTTCTGGAGGAGTGGGTGGAGGCTGGACACCAAAAGATTTCTCGTCTGGCCTTATTACAGGGGGTTCAAAAACATCATCAGAGTTAGATTTGGGCAGCATGATCCCACCTCTGTCACCAAAATGTGTAATGCGCAGGACGACGAAGGCAAATGGGCCGGTAATTTAACGTGCTGGAATAAGAGGGGAACACACAAAGTCAGTCACACAGGGCACAACAGAGGGTTCGACGAGGGAACACGGATGCAGCGAAGAACACGGAGCGAAGGTAGGAAAAGGTGTATTCAACACGAGAGCCACAGTTACAGTGCAATGCATTTAAACACAGAGTTCAGGAAAGAAAACAGTAGGTACACAAGTGGTTAAAAGTTCACCAGTCTTTGTCTTCAAGTTTATTAATGTTGGGGTTTCTCGGGAAGGAATCTGAAAAACAAAGAGAGAAAGGAAAAGATAGCGGACATTGGATAAGTTGATGCGGAGGCACTACACTATCAAAGATTATGGGGCAATCAAACAGTAACTGCAACCTGATTGCAATAATTACCTCGTATGTTTCAGTACCTACTTAAATCCAATAAAATTTCCAGCTATCAAATTGAAAAGCGTTTAAAAATATACCTATAACACACACACCGTTACGTGGTAACCAGTCAAAATTATTGTCCAACACCGTCTTTTTACCCCAGTGAATCCTTTTAGTATACCACCAAATTCGTTAGGCACACTTTAAGGCCGCATAATGCTCCACAATGCGCACATACATTTATGCACCAACGCTTTACAAACAGGACCTACATGCTCTTCGTTGTTTCCGGATGCTTCCCCCATTTAGTACGCTGTATCCCAAACAGCTGTCATGCTATGCCTAGCCACATCATATGTCTATAATGTAGCGGTGCCTGCCATATGTGTCTTACCTCACCATATTACGTCTCTTTCTCCACTTTTCACAGGTGCTACGTACGTACCTCTTCACAGTGGAATGAGCCCGAAGAACGATGCAGAACATTAACTCTTTTTCGCAACTGTTACTCACCGATTCCATTGTACCCCTTTGTTGCTCTCTGACTCTCGGCGAGTACATATTCCCGGGCGCACGCTCTGTTCTCGCTCTTCTCCAGCGCGGCTGCTCTGTTGTGCACTGTAGACCTTCCAATCCGAGAGCTAACATTTACTCTCTCTTTTCAGCTTCCCGAACCTACTACGGATTTCACTCGGACTATTGCGCACTACAATAAATTCACCGTCTTTTCTCATATGTTCTTTATCTTTTGCATCAATTTAAACCGTCCTTTTTATTACGCAAACAAAGCACACCTTCAAAAACTAACTAATTTCCAGTACGCGTTGAGTATATTCAGTTACTTAATCCACCGTAAATTATAATCTTCCTTGCGGACAACGACCACGTAGGTCGAAATGCGCTCGCACGAAGTATGATCAATGGATTGAAGAGATGCAATATATTGATAGCGCTTTTTATTTCCCGTACATTATGTTACAAAACTGCAATTGTTACCATATTTTGCATATCCAACAAGTAAAAGTATCCAGGCAGAATATGTTTCTCATCTATTTCAACTTACGAATGAAATCAATTTTTGAAACCCGGGTAAATATACCTTTGTCCGGTTGCAAACTACGGCTTACTCAGCGCATTCTGTTAACAATTCCGTGAAATATGTAGTTCAAATCTTCATTTCCCCAGCAGTTGCATTGCGAACCAGAGTAAGCTAACACTATATTACACTACACCTCGTATTATAAGGGTTACTAAATTATCCATATTGTTTCTCCCTAACACGCATCAAAGGCATTACTCAGAACCCTCATTGTTATGTATAGTACCAATCTCCTGCTGTCAACATAATCATCACAATATATTACTTCTTATCCTACCATTTACGTAGTTTTAATAACATTAAAACATGGCGTAGGTTCAATGACTTTCATTTATAAAGGTTTTTGTTCGTTACATGTTTATTACAGAAACCTCACCAATTATTCACGCAGTGACCATTGCTGTCATGGCAAAGAACAGTTCGTCTTTCGTGAGTATATCCCTCGACCTTTGTTCGCTATTTCAGCACATACATGGTTTAACGTTTAACAGCACATAAGTAGATTGTTGCTCATCTAATCGTTATCTCCTTTCCATGTTTGCACGCCAACGCTAGCTCTTGCCACTCCACTTATTCGCCCATGTCGGATGTACCCTGGGGCTGAAATTTATTATTCATTGGATCGACCGTTGTGCAGCACCTTCCCGCTAATGCACCAATTCAACTTTAGACGAGAATCAAAACAGTTTCTATCCTTCTCTACAACAATAATTTGAATGACCTTGAAACGTCAAGGATATGTCAGCGATCGGGTGAAAAGGATAAATACACGACATCGTAACCACTTGTAGGACACAGTAAAGCAATGTTAATGAACAGAATAATTATGGAACGGCGATACCATCTGCTCAGGTAAGCAGTTCAGGTTGGGGATACATCAACGTTCCTCGTGGACATTACCTTCCCCATGGCGCATAATCCCAAAATTCTGAGAGATGAAGCATTAAAGTGGTTCACTATAAACTGACGGAGATAATCAGGCCAACGCTGGAATGCCGAAGCCGACTTTTCAGCATCCGTTTATACGTCCGTCAAAGTTTGGAAAATACCTGACGAACGCGGACGTCGGAAACCTTCAAGCGAGGCCTATGTTCGGGCGCAACAATCCAGGTAACCTGTTTTTCGGTTTGGTAGCTTAAAATGAACTGTATTAGAATATATATTGGACATGAAATGACAAATTTAACCAGCGAGGACGAGCCCTGTGTTTTCGCGACGAAAAAATTCGGATCACGCAATTGGTCTACTCCACCCCCGAGATGCTCGGACTGTAATCCCGGTTTCCGGAAGTTCTGCTAATTGATAGCACCCTCTCCATTAACAAACTGATATTTTTGTAACAACTGCTTATAGTCGATGGCTGTCAAAAATGTCTGCCGGTTGCCGTTGCCTTCCTCTGGCGAGAGACGGAGACTGACGTCAGCAACTTCATCCTCTCGTTTATGGAGATTTTAAGTGTGCTTCTGGCGTCAACTGCATCATGTCCGATAGTGCACTGGCTATTTCGAACGCTGTACATAACGTCTTTCCTTCCCCAGATCATTCCATGTCACATGCATAAAATGGGAAATGTTAATAATCGTTTTCCGCAATCCACTTTATTCAGACGTTTTTCCTCGTGATGTAAAAGTTCAGCATTTGGAACTCTTCAGCTAATTAGGAACTTATTCGTCATAATGAGCAATCTTTCTTCCACGATAAGAGTTTTTTCATTTTTCCCACGGCCCGCAGATGGGCCAAAAGCAGGATGCCTGGTTCTGCAACGTACGTCATACACGACATGAATATGGTGGAGTCCATGCATCGCCGCTTAAAGATAGAACTGCTGAATTGGCAAATTGCCTTGTGGGTAGCCACAAGAGTGTCCCGGATAAACGCGAGCCATATGCTATAAAACCGACAGGTAGCCCTGTCGGATGCCTCTCGTCGCGGCCTGCGTATCGTAGGTCCTCTGGAGTCGGACCGCTTGCGCCCCCGAGTTATGCCTGCGCTGTTTTTATGAGGGCGTCTGACTTGAGTTCCACGTATCCTTCTGTGGTTCTCGGCGGCGGTGAGCATGCAACTGTTTTCAGTAATCGTCGACTGAGACAGTGAACCACGACAGCCGTACAGGTACATGCAAAACTAACGTGGGATTTGGATTTCACTGCAGACACCTGCTGCAGTTCGCGCAGCTTAACAGGGTGGGTGCCAATGAGCTACCGGTCAGCCGATGGTAGGCGAGAGCGGATAATGGGACATGAGCCGTTTCAAATGCGCTGTTGGACGCGCCTATACTCGGAAGGCAAGAACAGAGCGTCATTTTGGATACGGCTTTGAACGACCTACGCGCACTGAAGCAGAGGCGGCGGACAGCGCACTTCGCTCTCTATACCGCGTGGCAACGTAGTTTTGTTCAACAAGCAGGCCCGCAAGAAAAGCTTCCGTTCACCTTCCCCCTGCAGTACACCTGGCCACGGACACAAACATCGCCGAGTACAACCAGCTGCCGAAGTCTATATTTCGGAACTTGGACGCTGCAACTCTCCATCTGTCGACATTGCTGGATGGGCTTGTCACATCGGCCACCGATAACGCGGCAAGTGCAACGTGTCATTTGCATGCTCGGATGAAGACGGCACTATCCCAGCGGTTTTACCTAGTGCACAACCGACAGCGGCTGTTTACGACGCCAGGCATTAAGCCGGAACGCAACAGCTGGAGAACAATCCAACCCTCCAAGTTATCAATATTTTGTGATTGATGAATATATGTGCATAGATTGTTGCTTCCAAGATCCGGAAGAAAACAACGGGCGAGCAAATACATTGGGTTCAAAGCCCGTATTGTTTTGGTATCCTCGAAGCCGTCTTCTGTGGCCCCGTCTTCACTGTTTTCTGGTGCTTTTTCTGCGGACAGATGTTTGTATGACCCTGCGCACTGTGTTGGTGGTGATTTGCCAGCGCGCCATGTCGACTTGCGTTTCCTATTCTGCTTAGCTGCATGTGCGCTTATGACATTATTAACTATCCGTCACTGTACTAATAAATTCAGTGCCTTGTAACAATGAACGCGGATGTAATTTCTTCTTCTATTTACTTGCACTGCATATATCGAAAGCCTCGTCAACCTGGTGCGGTGGTGTACTCGGTTGTTAATTGAACCAACCTGTCCGGTGGTTTTCATATGGGTGGATTGTGCTAAATAATAATACATATATGATTTGGCTAGCCTTCCAGAGTATCAACGAATGGGATGAAAGGAAGTATGAAGATAAACTCCCCGGTGTGCAGTGTAAAACGAATGGAACGATTATGATGATCCTGTACACATTTCCATACTATCGTATTGCACAATGTACGTACATAATACACATCGCAAATAAATACATGGCTTATTCTCGAAGTTAGTGAGACACAGCAAATGGGCATGATCAACACTTACAGGCAGTTATGTTTCGCAACAGACACTTTGCTATGTATATACTAAACAGTGGCCGAAAGATTTACTGGCCGCGTAGATAGCGAAAGTAATCATGATAAATGAAGCCGTCAATAGATAACGAGACTTTGGGTTCAACTGCGCATAGTGCAAACAATCAAGGCACTATGAGTGTAGAGAAAACGGTATATGTAGCCAGAGAGTATCTTATTCTTGTACGTGTCAAGAAGGGCTTTAATTATGGCTCTTGTTGACTTGCCGGTATGTAGTTTTGGGCGTTGAGTTGAGCAACTAACCAGTCACATCCGCGGTGGTCGGCGCGATATCGTCACCATCGACCGTCTAAAGCCCACCTTTTTGAAAGAAACCACCTCGTGTACTTAGTCTAGTGGTGCTTCGTGCGCCGTTACAGTGCACCGCAACGAGTTTCAGCAGCATAGTAACGT